CATATATGGCTTTAATTATGTTGAGATACTTTCCTTCTATACCTAACTTATAGAGGGTCTTGTGACTTGTATTATTAAATCATCAAATGTCTAGCATGTCATGCTGAGGTCCCCAGGGAGTTGGATTTTTCCCTAAAGGCAATGAGAAGCCTCTAAAAGATCTTCAGCAACAGAATGAGAGGATCAGATTCACATTTTCAAATGTGGGAGAAAATAGATTACACTCTTATGAGACTATTGGCAAAGAGAGCAGTTAGGAAGTGGTTGTATTATACATTATTCCAAGTGAGGAACTGAGTTAATATGCAGGGAAACAGGAGGAGAAAAGGATCTGGAGTGTGTGTGTTTGCACGTGTGTGTGCTAGGGCATGTGCATGTATGATTAGTTAGGACAGGGGGTAAAAAGGGAGCTGGGGAAGGTAATAGGTTCAGTTTTAGACAGGACAAGTTTGAGGAGCTCATGGACTTCCAAATGTGACTGGTAAGCAGTTGTAAATATGGGTTTAAATTGAAGACACAGATTTTGGAGTCAGCCTCATATGGATGGTATTGAAGCTATGTAGGTAGAGGAGATTCACCCAGGAAAAATAATTTAGAGTGGTAAGAGAAAAGAGGAGCTCATAGGTCCCTAAGGAATGGCAACATTTAAGAGACAGAAGAATTAAAACAAAGGAATTCACGGTGGCCCTAAGAGGGAAGGGAAAAAAGCAGGAAAAGAAAATCTCAAGCAAGGCAAATTCAAATTTCATTATGACAAAATCAAGATATTGTTGAAATAATTAGGCTTATTAGAATTTCACAGTAACTGAGCTATTTGGGCGCTTAGAAAACTTTTTGTTCTGAAGGGCTTTTCTTGTGATAAAGCACTCAAAATAACACCTGACAATGTACTTCCTCTAGAATTTATATGCATTTTCATATCTATTATCTTATCTGAGCCTCAGATAATCCTGTGAAATAAACAAGGTAAGTACTATTATCTCCATCTGTTTAATAGGATTTGACCTTTAAAATCACAAAAGCAATGAGAAGTGCCAAGAGAAGTGTTTTCAATCCTACCTTTTTAGCATTAGAGTCTGGGGCAGCATCTGTCTCAGTTCATTAGGCCCCACAACTTTTAAACAGTCGAGGAAGTTGTGGGTACTAAGGTAGATGTTGTTTATTTTTCCACTTTGTGTCTGGCAGGTCAACTCTCCATTATATAATAGCAGAGGTTTATGAGAGAAGGGAACTTTGGTGCCACCAGCCAAAATAACCTTGGATCCTGTATTATAAAACAGACATTTTAATTAGCAGAAAGCTAATACTCAGTACAAACATCAGAAAGAGATGTTTAAATTTTACTGCAATGGAAATTCATTTATCAACAAATGTGCAAAAAAGTAAATACATACCTTGTATAGTATCCTTGTGAAAGACATAAGTGTACACCTTATCATCATCGTAAGCAATAAATACACCTTTATCCATTGGCCAGTTTTCCCAAAGAACACCTTTAATGGTTGGTGAAAAATCTGGAATCTCATAGATAGTATCATTAACCTACAAAATAGGATTTACAGATTTGACCCATGTCTGTATTAAATCATTACCATTTGCCTTGGTAGAAGTCTGTTTGAAACCTTAGCTGGTATAACTTACCAACTCATATTCAACCTAATATTAGTCCAATTACAACAGGAAAGTAAGTTTCTTTCCCATTCCTATACTAGGTCTGGCTTGAAGAAAACTGTAGTTATTTGGCAAATCAAGGGTTTGACCTAAAATTTGGTGAATCTGTAAGGAAAACCACAAATCTAGGTGCAATGGCTTCAGGTTAAGAAAAAAGGTTGAAGCTGCTCAAGAAGACAGAAATTTAAACTATGAATACACTTGTGTTTTGAAAATTTTTAACAATACTGGGTATTAAGAAACAAAGTAATTCATATATAATTTGAAATTTCAATATATTATACTGGAGACATGTTATTTCAAAAAACTTCTCTATAATACATTCCAACAAACATAAATGTACTATTATAATAATATAAGCTATTTTAAAAACCAGTTCATATAATTCCTATGAACTCAGGCAGACAGCCTTAAAAATAACCTGAATGTAGAACTGAGAAATATCTGCCTTCCTACTCTATATTACTCTCAAAATAGGAATGCAATATAAAATTCCTGCAAATAATAATACTGTAGAGCCATCCTGCCTAATGTGGTAGTTGCTATTATAACATCCACATGTAACTACTGACCACTGAAATGTGCCTAATCTGAATTGAGACATGTTTAAGTGTAAACTACATACTGAATTTCAAAGAGCATGCATGAAAAAAAGAATGTAAAATGTCTTATTAATAATTTTTATATCTGATTACATATTGAAATGATAATAATGGGTTAAATTAAATATATTAAAATTAATTTCACTTTTTACCTTTTAAAAAATGTGGTTAGTATAAAATTCAAAATTATGTATGTTGTTATACTATAGTTCTATTTCTTGTACAGTACTGCTTACAAGGTATTGTACTGACTCTATATGTAGAGTCAGTACAATATGTATAGTTATAGTATATATGTATAGTTAGTACAATATCTTGTAAGTAGTACTTGTACCTCATTTATATATATATATACCTTACATTTAATTCGAACTTTATATTCTACAAGACAGGTATTATTATCATCCCCATTTTCAGATGAAGAAACTGAGGCACAGAGAAATTTGCCCAAAGTCACACAGCTAATAAGTTGAGGAGCCAGGATGTGAACCCAGGCAGTCTGGCTCCAGAGTTTATGCGTATATTATACTGACTCTCAGTTTGTATGGATGAACACACCAATACCTCTGGACTGGTGGCAGATTTTTTTTAAAAGGATAAGCATTTGTTGAGTGCTTATTATGTGGCATACACTGTACTAAAAGCTTACATGCATCATTCCATTTAATTTCCATCCAACAACCCTACAAAGTAGGTACTAGAACTGTCTCCATTTTAGATAGACAGGGAAACTAGGAATCCAATCAAGGAGCTCTTTAGCAGAAATTATCAAGAAAAAGAGAACTATGAAAGGAGAAAGATAAATGGCATCAGTGTGTTTAAGGCTGGTCGTACTCCTTACCCTTTCTCTAGCAGTCACAGCCCAGTTCACCCATAAGTGCTGACAGAGACCTGATGTACCCTCCTACCCACTTGTACATCCTGTCTAAACAGCAGTTTCCACCTGTGGGGAACCCATAAGGGGAAAGCAAGGCAGCTCTAATTAGTAACCTGTTCCAGATAGGAAACCTGTGCAAGACTGAATTTCCATATTAAGTAGAGGGAACTCAAGGTTATCTTTATATTTATGTTATTCTTCCTCATTTGTTTTGTGATTGGGAGAGGAATGGTTGAGGAAGAACTAGCACTAGGGATTGAGTATAAACACTACAGGCACTCCTGTGAAAGAAAGCGTGTTATATTTGTTAAAGAAAGAAAAGAAAAGGAAAAAGGCAGAGAAGAGAAAGGAAAGGGAGAAAGTAAGGGGGGTGTGGAGGGATCACGTACACCTTTATATCACGTCAAGTTTAGTGGTGAAAGGAAACCTGTCTTCATTGAGTGGGCACTGAGATGAAACACAGACTCCTGGGGAACAGCTATTGAGGATGGATCTAAGAGCACCTGTAGGCCACGTGAGTTGTACCAAGAGCATACTAAACCACTAATTAGATATCAAAAATAAATGAAAAATCCAAGTGCAGTAAATGATGTAAAGTACATTTCCTTTCTAAATCTGTATTCAAAAAAGTTAAGGATGTTTAAAAATAGGAATGACTGACTTTTAAACTGGGTCCACCCAGTTTTGGTCATCTAATACAAAAATACCTATTCTTTATGTTCAGGATCTTTAAGGAAAGAGAAAAATCATCTGAGATGGGCAGAAAGGATGGAGTATAATCCCCACCCTCTGAAGCTTACTGCATATCTGGAAAGAAAAGTTATACAGAAAGATACTATATTGTGCAGCAAATGATAAGGTTAAAAGTGGTGTAGAATATAAAAACTACTTTTTCCATCAAAAAATGTCTCTGAGACTGACACTATAAAAAACTGCAGAAGGGGCCGGCCCGGTGGCGCACTGCTACAGTGCGCCGCTTGGGAGTGTGGCGGCGCTCCCGCCGAGGGTTCGGATCCCACATACAGACCGGTTCCCGCTCACTGGCTGAGCGAGGTGCGGGCGCACTACCGAGGGTTGTGATCCCGTTGCTGGTCCCGGTCCGGCGTGGGTGCGACACTGAGGGTTGCGATCCGTTGCCGGTCATGAAAAAAGACAAAAAAAAAAAAAAAAAAGACAAAAAAAAAAAAAAAAAAGACAAAAAAAAAAAAAAAAAAGACAAAAAAAAAAAAAAAAAAGACAAAAAAAAAAAAAAAAAAGACAAAAAAAAAAAAAAAAAAGACAAAAAAAAAAAAAAAAAAGACAAAAAAAAAAAAAAAAAAGACAAAAAAAAAAAAAAAAAAGACAAAAAAAAAAAAAAAAAAGACAAAAAAAAAAAAAAAAAAGACAAAAAAAAAAAAAAAAAAGACAAAAAAAAAAAAAAAAAAGACAAAAAAAAATAATGAAAAAAGTTTTCCTGACATAGTCATGAAAATTGATCACCAACATATCACAAAGTACTATATTCCTTGGTACTGTTTAAGAAAAAGTTTTATAGAAGATATACTTTAAAAACACTTTTCTTTTTATTTGGGGGGCAGAGGGAGCTGGCCAGTACAGGGATTGAACCCTGGACCTTGGTGTTATCAGCACCACACTCTAGCCAACCGATCTAACTGGCCAGCAACACTTTTCCTCTTATACTATAATGCATTTTTAAAAAAACAGGCATTTAAAAATTTTCTAGACTTACTGGACAGTAGACAAATCCATCGCTTTTTTCATCAATGAAAACTAATCTGGTTCCATTTGGGTCAGGAAAAATCTTTTTCACACTGACAGAGTGTCGATAATCATTAACGAACTGCCAGTCTTCAATGTAGAAATAATGAATGACACCAGTCTGAAAAAAATAGTTATAGAAATATGAGATGGTCAAGAAAATACTGACTTTCAGCATTTAAAATAAACATACTTCTTAATTTTAAGATAAAGATGTTATATTTTTGATGTGGAAAGAACCTAAGAATAATATTTAGTATATGAGAAAGGTACAGACCCAAGAAAATAAGTATAATAGGAATGTACACATGATTTAACAGTCTATTAATGCTAATCTTCTTAGTGATAATAAAGCATAATTGCTTTTAGATTTCCTGCTTTCTGGAAATACCCTTACTATTTAAGAGTAACTTTTAAATCATGTTATTTCAAATATTTTTATGTTAATTAGTGGATAAATTATAAATTAATTTTATGATAAAAACTAACAGAAAACCACCTGATACAGTCAATTTTATTTCTATATATATTAGCAATGAACATACAGATACCATAATTAAAAATACAGTATCATTTACAATCACTCAAGAAATGAAATAGTTAGCTGTAAATTTAACAAAACCTACACTGGATTTGTATGCTGAAAACTACAAAACAATGATAAAAGAAATCAAAGATGTAAGTAAATGGAGGGGTATACTATGTTCATGGACTAGAAGACTCACCATAGCAAACATGTTAATTCTCCCTAAATGATGTACAGGCTTAAGATCATTCCAATAAAAATCTCAAGATTTTCTGTAGATATAGGTAAAATTATTCTAAAATTTATATGACAGGCAAAGGAACAAGAATAGCTAAAACAATTTTGAAAATAAAGAATAAGGTGGGAAATTAGTCTACCCAGTATCAAGGCTTTTTAAAATAGCTACAGTAATCAAGACTGTGCGATATTAGTGATAGACACATAGATCAATGGAACAGAATAGAGAAGCCAGAAATAGACACAGATATACCCAATGATTCTTTTTCCTGTTTTTAAGATGACTGAACTTTATTTTTTATTTTTAAATTTAAAAATTTTCTAATTTTTTTTTTTTGCACTGGACAATACTGGAATCTGAACCCATGACCTTGGTGTTATATGGCTGTGCTCTAACCAACTGCGATAACTGGCCAGACAAAATTTTTTTTATTTTTGAGTAATAGCTTATTGAAATATAATTCACATAATATACAATTCACCTGAATCTATGGAAGTGC